TGGGCCTGTCCTGGTCGTTCCCCATCGAACAGACCTCCATCAGCTGCGGTCTGGTGATTCACATGGGCAAGGGCTTCCTCTGCTCCAACGGCACCTTGGGACAGGAACTCGGCGACCTCATCGTGCAGTCATGCCGCAAGCGCAGTCTCAACGTGCGCGTTGATGCCATCGTCAATGACAGCTCCGCCACTCTCCTTTCCCACGCCTACATCGACCCCAAGACTCGCATGTCCTTGATCCTGGGCACCGGAACCAACGTGGCGATCCACTTTCCCGTGCATGAGATTGGCCTGACCAAGTTCGGCACCAGACCCCCCGGTTGGTTTGACTATGCCAAGCATGTCATTGTCAACAGCGAGATGAGCATGTTTGGTGGGGGCGTCTTGCCCATGACCCGGTGGGACGAGGTCCTCAACAGCACCCATCTCCGCCCCAACTACCAGCCCTTGGAATACATGATCACGGGCCGGTACCTGGGGGAGATCGTCCGCCTGATCATCGTGGAAGCCGTCGAAACCGCGCAGCTGTTTGGCGGCGACCTGCCGCACTCCATGCGGGACGCCTACTCCTTCGACACCAGTCTCGTCGCGGCCATTGAGGGGGACGCGTCGCCGTCGCTGACCTCCTCCGCCGCCCTGCTGCAGAAAGAGCACACGTTCGCGACGGGCCCGTCGGCCGAAGACATGCGGTTCCTCCGACGGGTGTGCGAAACGGTCTCGAAACGGTCCGCCGGCTACCTGGCGACGGCGATCCACAGCATGTGGTGCTTGCGCAATGAGGTGGAAGCCCCACGGACGGCCGCGGCCTCGATCAAGGAGGATCAGAATGTCACCGTGGTCGAGAGCGAACCGCAGGACCAGAGCCTGTCCATCGCGTGCGATGGCAGTGTCATCAACAAGTATCCAGGATTCCGGGATCGGTGTCAACGCTATCTCAATACGCTGACGCAGGACACCAACGCATCGAAGAACCTCTTGGACGCTTCGGCCTCTCCGTCCATTCGCCTTGAGCTCGCCCCCGAGAGCGCGATTCTCGGAGCTGCCGTGGCTGTGGCTGTCGCGGTGGCGGAACGCACACGGTAGATAGCGAGACATGACTGGCTATCTACCTTCTTTCATTTCTTCCCTTTCTTCTTCCTGGAGCATGGCGTTCTTGCATTGACGGCGTTGAGGTTGCGGGTTCGTCCACCTCGCTCTGATTCCGAGGGGACAGTCGATTCTACGGATTCTCTGATTCTGATTCTGATTCTTACTGCGATACGCTTGTCACAGTGACCGGGTGAGTGGCCGAAGGTCGAGTGACATGACGATGATCCTTTGGCGAACGGAATAGACGGTTGAGCACGGTGGCCTGGGATAGACATTGGTGTACATAATGAGGTAATTTCATACAGTTGTGCATTATTGTATGGTCTGGTACGCGCAAGCGCAGCATCACTCGCCACATAGATCCTGTAGCAACTCCAGCATGCGCCGCTGCAGCGTAGCCAGCGCCTCCGCCTCAAGACCACCTGCACCCGGCTTGACCGTGAAGAAGGGGATGCGGAGGGCGCGCAACTCGGCGGCCATCGCGTCGGCCATCTGCCTAGACGCGCGGTAGACCTTTGCGTCGTAGTTTTGGAGTTCCGCCTGGTCTTCTTCGGCGGTCTACACAGCCAGTCAGCTCATCTCTCCGATACAAGGACATGGACACACCTACCGAGACCTGACTGTCATCCACGGGCGCGCCGACAGAGCGTCTGGAAAGCGGTCAGCACCGGCCCACATGACTGCAGGAGGAAACATACAAAACGGCATCAAGCTCCTTCTTCTTCTCCCCGCGGGCGCGCTGCTTCGCGCACAGCGCCTCCCGGCCCTGCCACCACTGGCGCTCGTGGTCGTGCTGGCGCTGGATCAGCCGGCGGATGCGCCGCTGCAGGTCCTCGTTCTGCGACATGGCGCGCATGACGTGTTGCAGTGCGGCGGGCCAGGTCGTGATGGAGGAGGTGTCCTGGGCTTGCGAATGGGACTGGGTTTGAGGGGGTGTTGGACGGGGGCGAGGAAGGGTTTGAGGGGAGGGAGGTGTTAGACTCTGTGAGGGTATGGGTACATTCTGAAGGGATTCATTGTGTGACGAGGGGAAAGAGTCTGGTGGTTCGTACGAGTCGTCGTTGGTGTTGGTGTCTTTGGGAGGCTCTGTGGGGGGAGGTTGATATTGGGATTGGGGTTGAGATTGGGACTGTTGGTTGGAGAAGGCAGAGAGCGTCTGGAGGATCGAGTTGAGATCGGTGGCGTTATAGTCAGACATGATGTGTTGTTAGGTAGAGAGAAGGATGTATGTATGGAGGTGAGGAAGTAGATGAAGATTGTAGAGGATGTTCGGAAGTCTGGGCTGAGCGCAGTGGTTACATACTATACTTATGCTCTACAAACCACAACCACCTCTTGTCTTGCATATCCTGGGCAGAACATATCTAATAACTATCGTAATGGAAATAGATAGTAATCAGACAGTTTATTCTATCATTCTAAATATTCAGAGGTATACACCCAGAACAATCCCAAGATCCGAACACCGAAAGAATACCGTCACAGCCGGTAATCACCACGATGGGCTGATACCGTCCATACCATACCTACTCACTAACCTCCATCTCTCTCTTCAACCTCCGAAAAATTTCCCTCCGCATCCCGACCAGCTCCCACACAACAAACGCCCCCTCTCCATCCTCAACCCGGACGACTCCAGCTCTCCTCTCGTCTCGATCGACTCTCGGCCACTGCATGTTCCTCCGCCGGTGAACTTCGCGTGACCAACGCAACGACAATCACCACTCACATCCCTCCTCATCCACCACCCCAGTCATTCCCTCCATCATGTCTCGCTCCGCCGCAGATGCAACCCGCTTCACGGCCACAGGCCCCTACGCCAACGCCAAACCCGGCGCCGCGCCGTACAAGCTCCCCGGCTTCATGGCCAACGCCAACGCCACCACATCGTCCGCAGGCTCCGCCGCCACCGGGCCCGGCGGCCGTCCCGAGACGCCCAAGGAGAAGGTCGAGCGGTTGCGAGCACAGGCCCGCGCCGCCCGGATAGCCCAGTCGACCTCGCGCGTCGACCAGGTGATCGACGTGGGCCGCCGCTTCGCCAATCGTGCCCACAAGGCCATGGTGTACACGCTGATTGCCGCGTCGGGTGCGTCTTTCCCCTTCCCTTTCGCCTCTTCCCCATCATCCCTCGGATTCATAGAAAGACAAGCTAACGGGCAGGTGCAGGCGTCTGCGGCGCCCTCACGGTCTACTCGATGGTCTCACTCACCCTGTACAACCGCCGCCAGCGCGCGCTGTGGATCGAAAACGAGATGCAGAAGCTGCAGGACGCCAAAGCCGCCTACGTCGCCGGCTCCGCCACCCCCGCCCAGCTCGAGCTGCTCAAGAACGAGAAGATCGCCGAGATCATGAAGCAGAAGAAGGACGAGGAGAAGGCCCACCGCCCCTGGAACCAGCTCAAGGCCTACCTCTTTGGCGGGCTGAAGTCGGACGAGCCCGCCACGGCGGCGGCGACGGGGCCGTCGACCGAGCCCGGCAAGCCTGGCGTGCTGGAGGCGCTGAACGCAAAGGCTGTGGAAGATGCGGGCGCCGCGGCGCCGTCATCGACGCCGACGGCCGGCCCGGGCCAGCTGGATGTCCTTGCGGATAATGCGGAAGCGGCGGCGAAGCAAACGACGCGCAGCTGGAAGAGCTGGTTTACGGGTCGGTGAACGCTCCTCTCCTCTGGCTGTACTCCACTGCCGTAAATTGATTTGCGCGGGTCTGTGCCCGAGCCTTTCTTCATGATGTCTGACTACACGTTGTGCATGGCATTTGGCTGTCTTCCCATCTCCCTTGTACTCCATCCATCGGGGTTCCGGCGTCTGTCTGGGTGTGTCTCTTGTCTTTGAAACCATGTAATACTGGGTCCATGTCATATTGTGTACATATAGTTTTTCCATTTGTTACAGCGGTCTTAAAACCCAAAAATTATAGAGTATCTGAACTGTCTGCTCGTAAAATATGTTTTATGCAAGTCCCTACCGAATGATAAAATCCTTGAATCCATCAGAGATGGAACTTTTGGTCCCGAAATCAAGACACATGACAATGATAGTGGTAATGCCACAATTTCAAAACGAGACGGTCGAAAAAGTACCAAGAAGTGAAGAACAAGGCACTAAGCTATGGTATCTAGACAAATGAACAAACCCCCGCAAACACAACCCACCGCATCCTAAAGGGCAGCGCCGCTGGATTTGCCCGCGGCCTTGGCGGCCCGACGAGCCCGCACGGCGTCCGCCAGGTCCTCCAGCACCGACACGGTGGTCTCCCAGTCGATGCAGGCGTCGGTGATGCTGACGCCGCGCTTCAAGCCCGACGGACCCTCGGGCGGCACCTTCTGGTTGCCCTCGTTGATGTTGGACTCGATCATGACGCCGACGATGGCATCCTGGCCGGCGCGCATCTGGTCGGCAATGTCCTTGGCGACGAGCGGCTGGTTGCGGTGGTTCTTGTTGGAATTGCCGTGCGAGCAGTCGACCATGACCACCTCGCGCTGCTTCTTGGCCCGCAGCGACTCGCGTGCGCTCTGAATGCTCTGCGCGTCGTAGTTGGTGCCCTTGCTGCCGCCGCGGAGGATGACGAAGCCGTGCTCGTTGCCCGACGTCTTGGTGATGGCCGCGAGACTCTGCTTGGTGACACCGAGGAAGCGGTGCGGGTGCGCGGCCGCCCCGATGGCGTCGATGGCCACGGTCAGGTTGCCATCCGTGCCGTTCTTGTAGCCGATAGGGAAACTCATGCCGGACGCGAGCTCGCGGTGCAGCTGCGACTCGGTGGTGCGGGCGCGATGACCCCCAGCGAGATCAGATCCGCCAGGAACTGAGGCGAGATGGTGTCAAGCATCTCGCTGGCAATGGGCATGCCCATGCCGGTCAGATCGGCGTACAGCTTACGCGAGACCCGTAGACCCTTGTTGATGTTGTACGACTCGTCGATATCGGGGTCGTTGATCAGACCCTTCCATCCCACCGTGGTGCGAGGCTTCTCGAGGTAGGCGCGCATGATGATGCAGAGGTCGGACGAGAGCTTCTCGGAGAGGGCCTTCAACCGAGAGGCATATTCGAGGGCAGTCTCAGGGTCGTGAATCGAGCACGGTCCCACAACCACGAGGAGACGGTCATCCCGCTGCTCAATGATCTCGATGGCCTGGTTGCGGCCGGAGCGAACCGTATCAATGGCATGAGAAGGCTGGTTGAACTGAGTTAGTGGGTGTAATTATAAAGTAGGATCTCTCTATGTATCGAGAGGAAGCAAAGATGGGCCATGTCAATGCCCATACAGAGACTTCGGAATCGAGGGTGGTGACTCACAGCCGGGATTTCGGTCTGGAGGTACTGAGGGGAAAGAAGAGGATCGTATCCGAGGACTACAAAGACGATTGGTGAGAATGATTTCTTCCAGCGCCAGGAGAATGGTACATACCACGAGTATCCTCGTTGACTTCGGTGGTTTTGATCAGAGGCATGATCGCGGTGGGAGTAGTCGGAACTAAAGGTGGCAGGAGGGGCAATTGTCCGATTGACAACAGAGGGGGAAAACGAAGCGTATGAATTGTCAGAGCAGCGATGGACTCTTTTATAAGACAATCAGCTGCAGGAGCAATGCAGGTAATCCCTCGCAGCGAGATTCCAACAGGTCGAGTTGCGGTAGGTAGTTAAGAAATGGAGGAGAAGCCAACGGTGATCGACTGGGCAAAAAGTTGCATATCTGAAGGGTGGAGAATCCCGATGATTCACACACGAAGAAAAAAAAAAAGAAAAAAGAAAAATAAGGTGGCCACTCACAGGCCCGTATTATAATAGTGCTCCATACGATGCGATTACCAACAGCCCAGCGCTAGACCGAGGTACCGTTGCTGCTAAATTCGCGTGTGAAGGTACCTCTCACCGACCGATATGGATCGACCAGTAATACCGTGGAAAATGACTGGTCTCGCCATCGAGGCGTCCATCAGGCCGAGTCTGGATCACGTCTCTGCAAGAATTCCTGTGCGACCTCGAGAGTCGATGGGAATCTTCCGCGAGGGCCCACAAAGTCGAGAGTGCAGATGGCGTTCGCTGCAAGGGATTCGAATGGTGGTCCACCGCTGCATTGCTGATTGATGGAGGGAATTGGAGATGATTCACCGCTGGTGGTGTCCTGCACCGGGTTGTTGTCTGTCGGTCTTGGGCGAGAGGCGTTTCGAGGCGGGCTCGGCTGGATCATACCGCACGTCGTTGGTGGATGAGATGTCGATTGCTGGATGGAGTAATATGCATCCGAACATTCCGAGTGTGCTCCGTACCCGGTAGTGTCATCATCTGTCAAGTTTGTAGGGATCAGGTTTCAGTGGTACATAGATCATTTGTATAGATCAGTTCAGAACTGTGTACGGAGTACCTCAGGTATTGTTGCTGTTATTTTCAAGATGCTCCACCATTGTGTCCCAACCGAAAGAGGAAAGGTGCCCGGTGGTTAGTCAGCGGCCCAAGCCCTCCCCACTAGTCCCAACACAGCCTAGTCGCTCTCCATTCTTCCAGCTCCAGTCCCTAAGTCTAGTTAACTACTCCGTCCCTAGTTACTTCGTACCTCCAACTACCTGCCACTGCTCTCATGCACATCTCCTTGCACTGACCATGTTTACCACTGCATCCTCGATTCAGCCCTTGTTCTGATGCGCTCTCGCTCCCCTCTTTGATCAGTCGTATTGTTTCCCTTCTTGGTCGGCCACGGGGCCTACCTCATGCCGCGATTGGCGTCCGGGCCATATCTCACTCCCAGTATTCCTCCTCACCTTCGCATTGGCCCACTGACTTGTCCTACCGACGCATCTCTTCCTGCAAGGCTACATCATTGGAAACTGGCCTAGACTTGATTGTCCTCTTATTAATTGCCTCACTGTCCGCACATCTCTTGGCGAGCTGAAGGGACATGTTTACTTTTTCGACAAAACGCCAGAGGGAACATGAGGAACCCGTGGTTGAGATTCACAGCCGAAAGGTTTGTCTTATGCCTTTTCTATCTGACACCCCCAACTAACGCCTCCGAGTAGAGACCTCGTCCTCTCACCATCCAACCACCGGGCCTCTGTCAGAAGCCTTCCCTTCCCGACTCTCGCCATGTCACCCCCAAACTTGACCCACCGACTTTGACCCCTGTTGAATCCTCGGACGACGATGACGATTCTAAGCACATGCATCATCATCTCCAGTCGACGGGAGAATCGCAACACCCTGATCTTTTGGATGCTGGACATTCCCCAATGGACATCGACAATCGAGACACTCCATTTTTGAATGAGGGTAGCAATATGCACCTATGGTCGATGCGTGCGCAAGGCAACAATAACATTCAACCATCACCCATCCCACACAACCTCGTCAACCAGTCCCTCACTCTCACGGACCGACATCCTTTATCTCCTTTTTCCAGTCAGGTGGCATCTCCCGCGGGGCAGCATGGCGCGACTCACCAGCACACTGGCCAGGCTCCCGGT